GCGCGGCGGCCGCGCGCCCCCGCCCGCGGGAGCGGACCCCGGCTTCCCGTAGAGCCGAATGGGAAACAAAAAGCAACAGCCCCCCCGATGCACACCCGCACACACACACACACACACCCACAACATGCTGCCCAGTCGCACGTACGTGCGCGCTCCATCCTCGCGCTGGCGCCCGGCTGCCCGAGCGGCCCCTGCGGCCCGGCCGGGACCCCGCGCCCCGGCCTGCGGCACCGGCTCGCTTAGACGTGTGGCCCTTGGTCACTGGTTATTTCACACTCCCATCGAGCTTCAGGTTTCTACAGGTCCTTAAATCCTGTTTTACTTGTGGTTAATAGGGGAGGAGAAAGTTGTTCACTTCAAACACTCATGCGAGAAGAAAAAACGAGTGTAACAGAGCCTTTACAAAGGATACCTTCTTTATTGTCATTGGCTTCCTCAGGAGAAGCGTTACAAACGCCAATAACTCAGTGTAACCCGAGTGTCTTCATGGGAGACTCCTCTCCATGCCTAAAGTCATTCATCTATGCAGTTACAGTCCTTAAAAAAAATGGAAAAATATATGTTGTCTGTTGCAGCATATGGGAAAAGCAAAAGCTCCACTGCCTTAGTAAGCTACTGACAGAGTCCCACGTGTTTAGCAGTGATCCCTGTATGACCCAACAGGATGGGACAACCCTTGTGACAGAGCCCTGGCACAGGCTGCCCAGGGAGGCTGCGGAGTCTCCTTCTCTGGAGGTCTCCAAACCCGCCTGGATGCGACCGGGTGCCCCGTGCTCTGGGTGTCCCTGCTGGAGCAGGGGGTTGGACTAGATGGGCTCTAGGGGTCCCTTCCAACTTCAACCGTCCTGTGATTCTGTGATTCACACACTTACGGAAAGGGCCTCCTGCTGCATCTTGCTCTGGATCTGTCATTTCCCCACTGTATCTGTTTTCTTCAGCACAAATGTTGGGGAGGGAGGGATGTTCTCTGCACAACTTCAGTTAACTTGGGCTTCTACCTCTGTCTTTGAACGTGGCAATTCAACATTACCCGACGAGCATTATTCACCAGACAATTTAACTTGCTTCCCTCAGCCTCCTCCCTCTCCCTCCTCCAAAAAAAAAGGTCAGCAAAATGATTACCTTGAACTTGTAGAATGTTTTCCTTAGTGCAAGAGATCAAGTAACAAAGCAATTATGTTATAGATGGATCTGTTGTGTCTCTTAGCTAATATCTTGACTGGTTCTGTACGTTAGGTATGTTTATATTTATATAGTTCAAGAAGGTCAGACAACAGTGGTTTATAAAGATCAGAAATTCCTTTTCTCAAAAAAATGTGTCAAACATCTGAAGAACAAAGTCCAGCTTCCAACTCTTCAGGAATATTTTCTGTTGCCCATCTCCATCGTGCTTTCTAAAGCACTGACCTCGGAGCGGGTGATGGTGGCTCTTTTGCTGTGTTCTAAACGTGGTGCTGCTCTCATGTTTGTGAGCAGCGGCGGTGCCTCGCAGCCCGCGCCCCGGGACGTGCTGGATGCCCTTGTGTGAGGTTTCCATACCGATCGGGCAGTTGTCTCCGCGGAGAGCAGACAGGCTGCTGCCCATGGCCGTGCTGCCGGGGGCTTCGCTGTGCTGTGCTCCACAGGAAAGGCTCTTGGGCTTGCTTCTTGCTTTCCGTTTTTATTATTTTTAAACCTTTTATTCTGGATCGGTGCTCAGAGGGACGCTCTGTTTGCTGCGGTGCTTGGGCAGGTGAGCGCCCCGTGTCCCGGTGCTTCCCGCCGACCTCCTTGGCTGACAGCTCCGTGTGCCGCTGAGCTCGGTGCCGCGTTGGCTCTGCATCAAGGGCGGGTGGTTTTGTGGTGTTCACCTCCTCACCGACCTCGGTCCTGAGCGGGGCTGGTCCCTGATAGGGGATCTCTCTTCTCACATCCACAAGGGAAGGATGGAAGCTGTTCCCGGCACCATTCCCTGCTGTAAGGGAGCCTCTCTGCATAAGAAACTTGTAGGCAAACAAGTGTAAAGCCTTGGAAGCCAATTCCTTGTTTACTTGACATCACAGAAGATGCTTGATCCAAAACAGACATTCATGAAAAAGCTTTTTAAGATGATTTAAATGGATAGTTTCTTCTGCAGGCATTAAGTAATTTTTTTCTTCTCAACAAATGGGACAGTTTCTGTAGTGCTGGAAGTTACGGTTCCTCAAGCAGATGAGGGAACCACCTAAAGCCACGAGCGAGTAACACTGTCTGCCCCGAGGTAGGTAAGGAATGAGCAGGGGCTTTTGCTCCAGCGTCACTGCTCAAGGTGCAGAGCCCAAAAGGACCCGAGGGCAGGAGCTTCCAGTTTGCTCATCTGCTTCCTCCCCACTCCACCCTTCCCATGTTTATTGGGTGTTTATTGGGCATTTATTTATCTTCTCCTTCCTCTGTCTTTGATACGTTGCCAGTTTCCTCTCTGTGCTTCTCTGAAAGGAAGGACGGCCAGAAACACGGTGGGCAGCAGGGGTGAAGCTTCGTGCCGCGCTCGGCTGTGCCGCGTCCCGGGAAGCTGCCCTGGCCGTCGGGGGCCAGCGCTGGTCACTGCCCTTCCCGGGGCTTTGGGAGGTGCCAAAGGAGCTGAAGTGACTCGGTCAGTCCTCGTCTCCACGGCCAGCCTGGTAGCCAGGAGAAGTCTGTAAACAGCCATACTTCCCAAGCAGCTATACTTCATAAACAGCCCATGCTTTGAAATGTGCGGAGGGGAGGTGCTTCCCGCTCTCCTCAGCAAGGATGAACCCAGGGTAATTGAAGGCAGGTGCCGAAGGGCACTGGCCTGTCCTAGGAATGATGCTCCTTTCTCCTGAAGCTGCTGAGGAAGAAATACTTGTATTTTGCTTCTCTGCTTTAATGAATTGTCATGGATTACAGCGGGTCTATAAAGCAAAGCCACGACAGCGACAATGAATATTTTAACGGAGAGCTGGATTCCAATCACTACTTTGCACTTTTTTTGACCTTCGTGATCGAGGAGCTTGATGAAGTTTTGGCTGTCTGAGGCTGAACTGTTAGACCCTCTCCTTCCTCTTTCTCACCTCTATTCTCAAAATAAAACCAAAACAGAAAAAAAAACCTTCTTCTCTCTCAAAAAGTAGCTGTTAATAAAACAACTCTTCCTACTACAAAATTCCCCCTCACACACACACTTCCTATATACTTATCTACTTCCTTATCTAATGGTCTTTAGCAGACCATTAGATTTGCTCACTTTGTGCCTTTTAGGAGTCTTCCACAGGATTATTTGCTGCTGATGCAGCATGTTGCTATTACCAGTACCTGGAAGGACATAATACAAATGAAGGATGTATAGGATCAAGATGAAGAGAAGTTAGGCTTCAAGTGCACAGGTGGTTTCTTCTGTAATTAAAACTGACAGCAGAGGACCAGTGCATTTCCATACACTGTACTTAGAAGTCTGTAACACTTTTGAGAAATTAATATATTAATTTACAAGTTTTGAGCTAAATTCAGGTGCTGAATTTAAAATAAAACCAGCTTGTGTACTTTTCTGTGATAAGCTTTGCTGCATGGAGAGTAAATTAAAAATCCAATATTTTGACGGTAACTTTCCAAAATACCATACTAGAAAAATATGAAATTTTATGAAGGAAATGTCAGCAAAAGTAGCAGAAGAGTTTTACATGGTCAAGTACTGACCTTGAGTTTGCCTCAATCTCTTCGTGCTTTTTGACATGCTTTTTTTTTTTTTTCTTTTTTCATAGCTCCTGAAATTACTGGTGTTTTCTAGCTAAATGCCAGTTTCATTATGCATCGCACCGAGACTTTTCTCTTTGTGTCCAAGCTCCGGAGTTTTTGTCCAAAAAAAATGTGAAACTTTTCCAGCTGGATCCAGGCTTTAGCAGTTCTGCAGCTCAAATGAACTGCTTTGTAACTCTGTCCTTTCTTTTATTGTCTTCTAGAAATCTCTAAGCGCGTGGTGATCTTCAAGCATCTTTCTCCTTTAACAGTTGTTCCCAAACCTCTCTTATAAGAGGTACTTAGAGATAAATGAAATGTTGAAAACTTCTGCCTATAACTGTAGTGAGGAAATCTGTAAACCAGATGCAGAGACTGTAATCAGCAGCAGAAGAAATTGGTGCATAATTACATATTTGATAACTGAGTCAACAAAAAAACTGTCTACAATACATAAATGGTACAATGGAATAATTCCATAGCTGTACTTTTATTCTACCAGGGTTTGGCACAATAGCTACCTATATCACTTAAAGCACATTAATGATGTAAACACTGAATTATGATTAAGTTGAGCTGAAAATGCATTTTTTCCATGCATCAGCAACCCCAATGATAATGAGAATTCCCTACTACATTTACAAGCAGCTTGCTGGTCACTTCTATCAGCTCCTTACTTCTATGTTGACTTACGGAAAACATCAAATTTCAGTAACCTGGCTTGAATGGCAGCTTGTAGAAAATGCTCCTCCTGCATTCCTCCCTCCACTGCCAAATCAAACATTGCTCCTTTCCTGAACCACAGTCTCCTGTACTCCTGGAAATAGTTTGGCTCTTTGAACTGCAGAAACCTGGGGTTAGCCATTCTCTGCATATTTTGTAGCAGATGTATGTATGTGTGTGTGTATTTCTAAGCAGCCCATTGAAAGCCTAGCTCTGTTCAGCTGCCGTAACTCACGTTATCCCCGTGTAAGGTGCTGGGTGGGAAGAGCCGTGGCGCTGATGATGGTGGCGTTAGCCCAGCAGCGGGACCGACAGCGGCGGCTTTGGTTGACTTGGAAGGGGGAGGCAGTTGGGCAGCGGGGATCCCTGCGGCTCTCGCGCTGCTCCGCGCAGGGCGCCCGCCGTAGCCGGGCAGTGCCCATTGCGCACAGCTTTGCAAAGCCGTGAGCCAGCGGACAGGCGCTGCCACCGCCACGACACCCTACAAACATGGGCATCCACGCGCAGCAAGGCTGGTACCGATCCCGCGGCTGATGGCATTCGAGTCATTCGATGACAAGGAAAGAAAGTGTTGCAGGAAGTGCTGTCTCCCTGCTAAGGAACAGCACTGCTTAGTAGCCCATGAGCAGGTAAATGAAGCCCCCCAGCGAAAGGCAGCCACCCTTGTGATGTTTGGCATCCCAAGGGTGCCAAAGGGTTGCGTAAGGGGTAATTTCTTTTTTTCCATGATTTAAGTCCCTTTGACAACTTTGACACGACAGTGCACACAGAGTCTCTCAGAGCCTTGGTGGGTGTTAAACGGCCCCCCGAAACGGTGTTGGTCGGGAGCCGCGGCGCGGGGAGGCACCGCGGGGCGGAGCGGGGCCGGCGCCGAGCCCCACGGGCAGCACCCTGCAGGCTCGCACCACGCGCGCTGCTTCCGCCCTTCCGAAGCCAAACTTCTTCCTGGGATTTTAAAAGGTGTCTTGCAGCAACCATGCTCATGGTTGGGTAGTAACTTCCATGAAAACTTACTGGTCATGGAAAAATATAGGGTTGGACTTTGCTTCCATGCTCCTGCTGCTGAATCAACACCTGTAGAGGATGGGTGCCCACCTTCTGGGATAAGGATGTGGACTCCTTCGCCTCGGTCCTGCTTGTAGGAGCATTAACTCAGACGTCCTTCCCTGGGCTGTAATTCGTTTGGGAGCATAAGGGCTGGAAACCCCTGCGCTCGGCCTTGCTGGCTTCTGTAGCCGCGGAGCGTCGTGTGCGCGCAGCGTCCGACACGTCCTTTTAAGGAAAACTTTTTAGAGATTCCCGTCCCCTCTGGAACTGCACAGGAAAGGCCTTCAGTAAAAGTGGGCAGGGGGCCAGGACACGTAGGGCAATTTGAAACAGATTTTTTCTAAGTGAGATCATGTGAAAATCCTTCTCTTCCCTTTAAGAGGGACTCTTCAGCTTTCCCTTTAAGAGGAAAGAGGACTCCTCGGCTTAAAAATGCTTCTTGTAGGTATTTGGTTCCAAACAACTGTGAAGTTGCATGGCTGTATTCAGCAGCATGTGCTCTGTTTTGGGTAAATATTTTTGTTTTAACAGAAAGGCGTCCAAGTAGCTTGCTCTGCTCTCTCTAATTAGTCAGACTGTATTTTTCTCAGTTTTGTCTTTCACGTGGGTGGTTCTCTGCATTTTTTTTCCTTAAACCAGCGCAGAGATTCAGTATCAAGAGGGAAGACATAATAAAAGTTGCTTATATAAAGCCATCTTTTACCTGAACCAGAAATGAATCACGTTTTATAAATTCCTGAAACTTGAAGGGTTTAGTCCCGCAGCAGGAGCCTCTCTTGCTCATGAACAAAGTGCCGTTGTCACAGGCCCGGTTGGTGCCCCGAGTGGCCTCGCACCAGGCTGCTGCGCGGGCCCAGCTGCGGGACGCGGCCCAGACGCGCTCCCAGCCGGGGAGGCTGAGCTGCCTCCAGGCTCCGCTTCTGCCTCCGATCCCCCAGTTTGCTGCCTTTGCCACTT